GCATCCAAGATAAACTGTAAGTAAGTTTCATTCACAGAGCATCATATACCTTTATGAAAATGCTGCTATTGTAATAATACAGAAATGTTTTATATTAACTGTCTGTATAGTCTAACATAGAGAGATATTGTAACCTGGATGAAGATGATGATGATGATGATGATGATATTATTATTATTATTATTATTATTATTATTATTATTATTATTATTATTTACTTTATTCATTAAAGTAACTCAGTCAACTGAACATTCAGAAATACATCAGAAATACCATTGACTGGTGCTAATGATTGATACAGGTTGCTGCCAGCATCCTAGGTATCAACAAAGTACCCTCTTAAAATATACAATGTTCCAAGTAGTACAGTTTTTTAATTATTGTTATTGTTACTACTATTACTACTACTACTACAACTATTACTACTACTACTACTACTACTGAGAGATCCTGAAATGGGCTTCTGACTTGACAGCTTTACAGAACGTCTCAGGAAAATTTTTCTTTCTTCAGATTCTTTTGAAATTTTAGTTCATTCTAGCCAACAAATATGTTATAATATACATATTAATGTGTTTAGCAGTTTTTTGATGTTATCATAGTATATATTCCATCCCCCACTCCCACCACCCATGGGTGCCTTTCCCTAGAAGTATTAGTTTTTAAAATGTCTCAAAAAGGTTACTTGCACATTTCCACAAGAGGGAGATAAAGAATTGATCAAAGATAATCTCCATGAATAAATTAGTTGCTTTCAGTTAATTTACATTTGTTAAATAGTCAGAGTAGTCATCATACCTTAAGAATATCTTCTCCCTGTCAAGAACAAAAACTAAGAAAAAAAATAAGCAACAGGAGTTCAACTATGTGTATTTAAATGAGATGCAAAAAATAAACCCCTAGAGCAGAATATATCCCCAGTGATTTTTGGATCTTCACCAGTTATTTAGGTTTCAAAACATGGGAGGAAAGAAGGAACAATGCCTGAAGCAATGTATTCATGTGGGGAAAATCTAGTGAATGTAAGAATGTAAACAATTTGTTTTACAAGTTAGTGCTATTTTAGCATTTTATATTTAATGCTCAAGGTTATTTTTCCAAAGTCTTGAAATACTGTCACAGATTGTTTCCCTTATTTATTTTTTGCTGTCCAGAAAAATCATAGCTTCCCTCCCAAATATATATGGACATTAATGGGAATTACTAGACAAAGGTGTAGAATCCTGGACAGCAGTCAGACTTCACATGCTGTGATGCATGTTAAATTTTTATTTTCTTTATATTCCTTTTATACGTAAGTCATATCCAACAATTTGTAATAATTATTGCAGTGGCACAAAATGTGTGTATGTGTCCAACCCTCTGCTCAATCAAGGGACCCTACCATTTCAGATAAATGGCTATCCAGTTTCTTCTTCAAAGCCCCAGTGATGGAGCACCACAACTTCTGAATGCAAACAAGTCCAGTGGGCTCAGTACTTTAACTGGTTCGACTTCGAGCTGAAGTACATCCTTGGGGGTAGAACTTTTTAACCAACACCCTGTCCGGCATGCTGCAATATACCAACTGGGAAGAAGTGGTAAATGCCATAATTCTCCCAATCCAGAAAGCAGCACAGGTGATCACGAGGCAGCAGGCATCAGGCCCCAGTGGCGATCTGATCCAACAACTAAAAAGGGAGTTGCAATCTGATTCATGATTCAAAGACCATGGGGGAAAGCTACCATTGAGAGAGAAATTGGCATGGGAGACAAATTGTATGTCCCTAGTACGCTATAAGTATAAGTCCTACAACGGAGTCTGGTCACTTTGGGTTCTTAAAGACTCTACACTTAGTGAAGAGACATTTTGGTGGCTAGGAATGAAAAAGGATATAGAAAGCTATGTGAAGAGTTGTGCCATGTGTGCGACGATAAGAAAAGACCATGGAAGAGTTCAGGGCTGCTGCAGTGAGTGGCAGAGCTGAGCCAGCCCTGGAGGAAATAACAATGGATTTTATAGTTGAACTCCCAGAAAGTGGGGACATCAGTGTGATCTGGATGGTTACAGATCTCTTTTCAAAACAAGTCCACTTCATAGCCTGTCCGAGCCTCCCATCTGCTCAGTGACTGGCCAAGCTGTTCCTGCAGCATATCTATCAACTGCATGGGGTGCCAAAGAGAATCATCTTGGATCATGGGGTCCAATTTCTTTCTTTCTTTCTTTCTTTCTTTCTTTCTTTCTTTCTTTCTTTTCTTTCCTTTCTTTCTTTCTTTCTTTCTTTCTTTCTTTCTTTCTTTCTTTCTTCAACTGGTATGCCGCCTTTCTCTGAAGACTCCAGGCAGCTTACAGTGCATTTAAAAACCATTTATAAAAACATTAAAAATTAAAACATTAAACACAATTAAAACCCATTCACACCATTCATGGTTGGATCTCGCCAGATTGCAACAGCGAGATCAACGGCCCCAGGCCTACTGGAAAAGCCAGATTTTCACCACTTTTCGAAAGGCCAATAGTGTGGGGATGGTCCGGATCTCAGGAGGTAACTGGTTCCAGAGAGCTGGGGCAGCCACAGAGAAGGCCCTCCCCCGTGGGCCCGCCAGCCAGCACTGTTTAGCTGACGGGACCCAGAGGAGACCAACTCTGTGGGATCTTACCAGTTGCTGGGAGCTATGTGGTAGAAGGCGGTCTCAAAGATAATCTGGCCCTGAGCCATGTAGGACTTTAAAGGTAATAATCAACACCTTAAATTTACTGCCATGTTTTGGAGAGAGTTTATAAAATTGATAGGAACCTCCCAAGGATTTAGTTCTGCATTTCATAACAGTATGAATGGAGCCACAAAACAAGCAAACAGAATGATAGAGCAATACTTGAGATGGTATGTCAACTACCAGCAGTCTAACTGGGCAGATCTGCTTTTTGCCGAGGCTTACCCCATACAAAGTAGCCATGGGGATAGAATTTGTCACCAAAATCCCCTCAGAAACCCCCCTCCTCAGTGAAGCTTAACAGAATGGGTGTGTCAGATCCTAGATATTTCTACAGGGACGCTGGCATTTTTGTGTGAAAAAAGGGGGGAGGAATGGAGTGGTCTGTATTCAGACCACTGTTTTCAGTTTCTGTTTCTGTTTTCAGTTTCTGTTTCCCTGCAATGATGTTGTGTGGGAGGGTTTGGTTAGCATTGCTTTAAATAACTGGTTTTAAATGAGAAGCTCCAGTTCTTGCCTAGATCTCTTGTTAACACAAACCTTCCAATAAAAGCTCCTTTTGGAACCACTGCAGTTTCAAGAGTCCTGCTTTCTTGGGAAGATTGGAGAGGCAAGACCTTACATGGTAGGTTCTTTGCAGAGTGCATGGGGAAATGTAAAACAAGTGCTAGTCAAAGCAACAGAGATTCAGAAAGTACCTGAAGCTGAAACTTCCCTGTTGAAAGCTGATCTGAAATTTATAGGGCCTTTCCCATAATGAAAATCATAAACACAATGACGGTGGAGTTAAAACTGCCATGCCTATGGGGAAAAGTCGGAACTGAGGCCAATAACCAGGATAGCTCCAGATCCAATCCTAGTGGAAGGGGGCACATATTACAAGGTTAAAAGTATCCTGTATTCCAAGTTATACAAAGGCAAACTTCAATACCTAGTCCAGTGGAAGGGATATCCAATATCAGAAGCTAGATGGGTAAAAACAGAGAATATAAGGGCAGATCAATTAATCAGGACGTTTCATGAGAAATACCCCCAGAAACCCAAAGGACCTTCCTAGGGAGATAGAAGACCCTAGCTTTTAGTAATTTGTGTCTGTGCTTGGTGTTTTCCAGGTGCTTCTCACTCTCTAGGGGGATCCAACTGTCAATTTTGAAATGGATCAGGCTTGCCATAGCCATCTTTCCATTTCTCAGCTTGCCATACAATATGGGATGAGGGGGTGGGCAGAGGCTTTGTAATGTCAGACCAGACAATAAAAACAGATCATCCCATGGGAACCAAGGTCATCCCAACAGATGCTGGCCAGGGACTAGAAGGAGTTGCCAAGAAGACACCAGAACAACTAATTGGACAATGTGTCCTGTGATAATAAGGGAGGGAATTATCTATTCTTTAATTATACTGAAACCATGGGAAATTCTTAGACCTGGTTTTGTTTTCATTTGTGCCAAAATGAAGTCCTCAGCAAAATAGTTCTTTGGCAGTTGCAGCACATAGCTGGCTCATATTTAAATAATTGTCCAGTAGGACTCCAAGATTTTATTTATTTGTATCCTGCCTTTATTATTTTTTACTAATAACTCAAGGCAGTGAACATTCCAACACACTTTCCTCTTACTATTTGCCCCACAACAACAACCTTGTGAGGTGAGTTAGCTGACAGTAAATGATTGTCCCAAGGTCACCCAATTAGTTTTTATGGCTAAGGCAGGATTAGAACTCATTGTCTCCTGCTTTCTAGCCTGGGGCCTTAACCACCATACTAACTGACTCTGAAAAAAAGGTATATTTCAAGAGATACTGCTTTTACACATGTCTTTTGTATATATTTCCCCAAAGGTAATGTTGAGATCAGCAAGAAACAATTGTGATTCCACTGCTTACATTTTTATTATATTACTGGAGATTATACTTTAATCTGCAAAGCAATTTTATCTACTATTAATTGTTCAAACAGGAAAGTCAAACTACTATCCTTTTTATTTAACGTGACAAATAATAAGTCAAGTGTTGTTGTGGCATCTGTGTATGATAGTGATGAACATATCAGACTAGGATTAGAGAAATTCATTTCTAATCCACTTTCAGTCAGGATGGCTCATTCAGAAGCCTTTACTGAGTACCTCAAACAACTACCTCAAAAATTATTATCATAGGAATAACGAGATAGGAGTCATTAAAAGTTAAAAGATAGAATTTAAATATATCTGATAATTAAAGTAAAATGAATAAGTCAGTGAATGACTAAAGATCATTCATCTAAATGTCAATTATAATTGTTACATGAATTGTTGTGGAATATATTTTCAACATTTTTGTTCACCAATGAATGAAAATCTTGCTATCAACATCTTTTTCATTGCCATTTTAACCTTCTCATTCCTCAGTGTATAGATAAGTGGGTTCAAAACTGGAGTAACTGCACTATAAATGAGAGTTATTATTACATCTCGTTCAGAGGAAGAACCCACAGTGGGAAGCATGTAATTAAACAATACAGGAACATAGAGCAAAGATACCACAGTTAAGTGGGATCCACAGGTGGAGAAGGCTTTTTGCCAACCACGCTGGGACTGCACTTTAAAGAGAAGGAAAGTAATGATGTACAGGTAGGAGAAAAGTATGAAGATAAAAGGGCCCATAGCAACAAAGCTGGTCACAATATTGAGAAGCATGAGATTTAGGTGTGTATTGCCACAGGCCAGTTTCAACAAAGGTTTGATGTCACAGACAAAGTGTTCAATTAGATTTCGTCCACAGAAGGGAAGGCGAGCAGTTACTACTGCATGCATCAAGGCATGGAAAAACCCAATAGACCAGGCAGCTACTGCCATTAAGACACAGACCATTTTTCTCATGATGACAGTATAGCGCAAGGGGTTGCATATTGCAACATACCGATCATAGGCCATGAGTCCAAGAAGGATTCCTTCACTGCTGCCCAAGAAATAGAAAAAAAAGAGCTGGACCATGCAGCCATTGAAGGAGATGGTTTGTAGCTCTATTAGAAATCCTTGTAGCATTTTTGGAACAGTTACTGTGGAATAGAAAATGTCAATGTAGGAAAGATTTCCAAGGAAAAAGTACATGGGTGTATGAAGATGAGGTTCAGTTAAGACTACAAGAACAATAGCTCCATTCCCCACTAATGTGGCCATATACAATAGCAGAAAAATTGAAAAGATTATATATTGAAGCTCCAAATCATTTTTCAGGCCCAAAAAGATGAATTCACTCACCTCTGTTTGGTTTTCCATTACTAAAAAAAAGAAGCAGAGAGTGATAAAATAGGAGAGAGATAACCGTCCACAGTTAGAAAAGGCTATGTGTGATATTGAAGTAAAAAAAAAGTAAAAAAGTGAAATTGTGATATGGAAAATGTAAATAAGTTTGGCTAATAAGGTACACATTAGTAACAAAGAACAGACACTAATTTTCTTATCTAAAAATTCAGAATACAATAGAAAGAAAGAAAAACAATGTAGCTATTTGAATATATCAAGGCTACAACTTTATTCATTCAAAACAATAAGAAATGTAAAATGGCAAAAGTCCTCTTTCAGATATTTCTAACCATCCAATCTGGTCCAACAGGATGGCTATGTTTCAGGTCCCATCCCCCAAGGAATGCCAACTGGCATGGACCAGGATGCATATCTTTTCTGACTGTCTATATGCTCTCTGGAACATCCTCCCTCCTAAGATTGGGAGGAGATTGGGTCCCGAATCTGTTGGCCTTTTGGAAGGCCTTTAAAATTTGGCTATGTGTCTAGACCTGGAATATTGACCTTGTGAAGTGCTCCATTTATTGGCAATGTTGACCCCAACAGATTATGATATATCTTGGCTGCTGTTTATATTTAAAATCTTCTTTAAAATGTGTTAGCAAGAATGAATCTGACCATTGTATAATGTTGATGGTCATTTCTGATGAAGAAGATTGTCGTCTTGATTTTAATGCCATAAGACTTAAAAGTTCTAAATGTTTATCAGATTCATAAACCATCATTTCAGTCTCTTCAAATTTCCACTATTCTAGATACCAAATGTAGGAAAATAACATCTATTTAGTTTCCCTCTTCCTTTATCAACATATTCCCTTTCTTGTATATGTGTGTGTGTGTGTGTGTGTGTGTGTGTATGTGCTTCTTACTGATCCAGTGTTAACTTGTTGCTATGGTATTATTTCATACATCTGACATTATCTTCTGGCACTTGCAGCCTAAGAAGAAAATATAACCACCAAGAATGAAACAATATGAATTCAAAGTTTTAAATAATGAAAGTAGGCTAGAAGGATATTGAGCAATTTTTGGTATAATTTATTTTGGGCTCAATTGTTGTAGACCACACAGTATGATTATTTATTTGTTTGGGCATCAGGTGTGTCAAAAGCTCAGTATATCTTTTCAAAGTATCAAAAAAATCTAAATGAAATAGGTAGAAGTAGTTAGATGGACAGGAACTTTCTAGTTTTACTTTTTGATTTATAATTTGATGATAACAGGGGAAAAAATTCTACTTTTAACAAATCAATATTTGAAAATTACAGCTAAACATGAACTATAACTTTTATCCTTCCACAGAGGATAAAATAATATGCTGTGATCTTAACATCTGCAGAAGTAACTTAAATATATGAAAAATATCTTGAAGAACTTTACCCCTATTCTTTTGCTCTTCACGAGATTTATCATTTGTTTAAACATCTTTTATTTAAAGATATTGTAAGGTACTAAAGAACTGTCCATGCATTTCAAAGACAGAATCAATATTCTGAATAAATGCTCTATATAACACAACCCCATGTAATATCTATTTGTTAATTTTCAGATTATTCATACCTTGATAATCCCCTTTCCTCACTTAAGATCAATAATTGAAGATAAGAATCATTTAAAATCAAATCATCATACGTTTTCAGAGAATGCAAAAATATGCTCTCCTAGTAGAATATATATGTGTAAGTTTGCATTATATTCTTGGCTTACAACGCATTATTGACTGCCTTTTGGGGAAAATCCATGAAGCAGTGTGTGCCAGAGGGAATACATTTTCTGAGTCTGAGAATGTAAACTATTTGATCGACCAATTAAGACAATTTACCTGTATGTTTAATAGCAAACATATTTTCCCCCAAAGAATTGACATAGAATTACAAATGAGTTTGGTGTTAATAGTCAAAACTGGTGATTATGTTGCAGTTTATACTTTGTGAGGGTTGAATTAAAATCATGATTAATATTAAGGACTAGAGATAACTATAATAATGTGTGAACCATACTCATTGAGAATATATCCAATGTTTGCTACAGGATATTCTGTGTTACTCCTCAGCCCAACCTGCAAAATCAAAGAAGATTGAGGGATATCTCAAAGAAAAAAAGAAGAGGGGGGTGAAGACACAAGTCTAGTTTTTGGCCAGTTTCCCCATTTCAACCTCTAAATTAAATGAATCTTGCAGCCCTTTGTTTTTTTTTTTGGACATTTTGCATGAGGAGCCATATACAATGAGTCCCAGTACAGATCATGAGGAACCTCAGAAATGTTTTAAACTCAGTGTCCATCTTTCATGGTAGGCCAGGTCAGAAGGAGGGATTTCAGTAACATTATTTCATTGTTTTAGGATGTATTCATTAAATCTGAAAGGCTGTCCAAAATCTTCACTACTTTTTTTAAGGATGAAGAAGTCAAGATAGAAATATTCTGCATCTCTCTCTTTTGCTTTGACTTCTCCAGGACTGAATGACCATTTCTCTTCTCTTCTCTCCTTCTCAAGGCCATAACTAAATTATCTATTGTCAAATATCCTAAAGACAAAGTAGAGAAAACATGCAACAGGGTTGAAATGCCTTGGAAATGATTTCAAAATTAGATGTCATGGTGGACTGCACAATTATTATTCTAGAACTTTATCTGCATTTAATAATTTCTGTTCTGCTAATATATAAAAATCCATTTTAAAATAAAATAACCCACATGTTTAATGAAAATCTCACCTAAATATTTATTTTTAAAATGCAGTAGAAAATTCAAAGAGGTGCAGGACACAAAGAAAGCTAATCATGAATATTTGTTTTAATCTGAATAGTGTAATATGTCCACTGATTACATTCTCATAAATGTTACTAATTTCATGGTAAGTTGTCTCACCTTTAATATGTGTTTAATTAGTAGTGATAAGCTTTACTACACAGCAGATAATACAAATATTCACATATATTAAAGAAAAATAAAATCCTGCATCTATATCCAACCTCTTTGGTTGTTTCTTAAAATGTCAGGGAAGCAGCATCAGTGATGGGGTTCAGTCAGTTCCATCTGGTTCGAGTAAATCAGTAGTGCCAACTGCAATAGGTCCCATCCACCTCCCAGATGTAATGCCGTCCTATTTAGCCACGTATTGGAGGCTGCGCACATATGTGGGAGCACACACACACTCACATTTGGGAACCAGTAGGGAAGGTAAGTGAATCCCACCTCTGAGCAACATCTATGGGATGATGAAACAGAAATGATGCAACAGTAGATTCTGAAACATGGGAGTTTACCGAAAGTCTTTGAAACAGTCATTTTCACCCCAACCCACTTCACAATACTTTAAAATAATAATAATAATAAAAAAGGAGATGTACAACTTTAGATGTACACTAAGAATTAATTTATATGTTTAACTTTATTTTGTGGAGAATGAAGTTCAAGGTGGATAAAGGTATGCATGCAAGTTTTGCCATGATATCCATATATTATTCTCTCTTTCTCTGATCTTTCTACACTGAAGAGTAAAATCTACAGGCTTCCTCACTTCCTTTGCTATAAGAGGAAAGGAAAGAAAAAGATGAGACTTTCAAGATAGCCATTATAGCCCATATCAATAAAATAATGTTTCAGGTCAGTTTCCTGACCTGATCTGTCTTGAAGACCTGTCATCAGTCTTGAAAGTCTTACTACTTTCTGCCTGAATGGCATAGCTGAACATTATTACAACGCCAATACTACAAAATATTAATGCTTCTCTATTAGATAGTGTTTCTCTTTCCCATCCTCTGATCTTATTTCCAAGCTGATTTCCAAGCATGCAGAAGAGAAGCATATTTAGACATCTGAAAATTTAATTGAAAGGCAGAAAAATAAAGTTGACTAGATTTTTCATCTTTTTCTTTTACCAAAATTTGAAAATTACCAGAATTTTTCTCATTGTCATTTTAATTTCCTGATTTCTCAGTGTATAAATAAGCGGGCTCAAAACTGATGTAATGGCTCTATATAGAGAGTTAATATTATCTCCCTTTATGATGGTGCACTCCCAGTGGCAAGCATTTCATTAAACATCACAAAAAGTTTAAGCAAAGATTGAAAATTAAGTCTCCAACTTGGATTTGGAATAGGTGAAAAAGGAAATCATATAAAAATACTCTTTAGACTTTATATTTTAAAATGGGAGAACATAAAGGAATGACAATCTCATCTCAGATGACAATGTCAGATTTTATAATAATTTTATAACAATTTTCAAATCAGTTTCTATAACAATTTTTGTGTAAAAAAAAAAGCTACTAATTCAGTGTTTCATAAGACTAGCCTCCGATCCATATGTTTAAGATCCAGAAGCTAATATTTTTCTGAAGCTAGAACTAATGTAAAGATGACATGGCAAGGGTGTCCTTAGGAAATCATTTTATAACAAGCATTGATAATTTTTTGTAAAGCAAAATTGTAGATTTCATTCAAATAGATAGGGAATGTCAGTCGGAAGAAAACTACTTTTGAAAGAAAAGTATAATGGATACAATATCTTTCCAGCATTTCAATTCACAAGAAAGTTACTCTTTTTTTATCCATAATCTTTCTTATTGCTCTTCTAACTTCCTGATTTCTCAGTGTATAAATAAGTGGGTTTAACACTGGGATAATTGCACTATATATGAGGGTTACCATCATGTCCTGTTCTGATGAGGTACCCACATTGGGAAGCATGTAATTAGACAACACAGGAATGTAAAGTAAAGACACCACAATTAAGTGTGACCCACAAGTGGAGAAGGCTTTTTGCCAACCACTCTGTGACTGTATTTTTAAAAGCAGAAAGGTAATTATGTAGAGATAGGAGAGAACTATGAAGGCAAATGGGCTCAAAACAATACAACTGGTCACAGTACTGAGAAGCATGAGGTTGAGGTATGTATTATCACAAGCCAGTTTCAACAAAGGCTTGATGTCACAGAAAAAGTGTTCAATGTGATTTGATCCACAGAAG